TGTCACTAGTCACCCTCTCCCTCACTCTGTCACTAGTCACACCCTCCCTCACTCTGTCACTAGAGTGAGGGGATGACTGGTGACAGTGAGGGAAGGGGTGACTAGTGGCAGAGTGAGGGAAGGAAGGGGTGACTGGTGACAGAGTGAGCGGATGACTGGTGACAGAGTGAGAGAGGGGGATGACTAGTGACAGTGAGGAAGGGGGTGACTAGTGACAGAGTGAGGGAGGGTGTGACTAGTGACAGAGAAAGGGAGGGGGTGACTAGTGACTGAGAGAGGGAGGGGGTGACTAGTGACAGAATAAGGGATGGAGGGGGTGATTAGTGACAGAAGGAGGGAGGGAGTAGTGAAAGAGGGAGGAGGTGACTAGTGACAGAGTGAGGGAGGTGGTGACTAGGGTCACCTCCCTCACCCTGTCACTAGTCACCCCTTCCTTCCCTCACTCTGCCACTAGTTACCCCTTCCCTCACTCTGTCACTAGTCACCCCCTCACTCTAGTGACAGAGTGAGGGAGGGGGTGACTAGTGACAGAGTGAGGGAGGGAAGTGGTGACTAGTGACAGAGGTAGGGAGGGAAGGGGTGACTAGTGGCAGAGTGAGGAAGGGGTGACTAGTGGCAGAGTGAGGAAGGGGTGACTAGGGACAGTCACCACCTCCCTCACTCTGTCACCAGTCATCCCCTCACTCTGTCACTAGTCACCCCTTCCTTCCCTCACTCTGCCACTAGTCACCCCTTCCCTCACTCTGTCACCCCCTCACTCTGTCACTAGTCACCCCCTCACTCTGTCACTAGTCACCCCCCCCCACTCTAGTGACAGAGAGAGGGAGGGTGTGACTAGTGACAGAGAGAGGGAGGGTGTGACTAGTGACAGTGAGGAAGGGTGTGACTAGTGACAGAGTGAGGGAGGGTGTGACTAGTGACAAAGAGAGGGAGGGGGTGACTAGTGACAAAGTGAGGGAGGGAAGGGGTGACTAGTGACAGAGTGAGGGAGGTGGCGATTAGTGACAAAGGGAGGGATGGGGTGACTAGTGACAGTCACCACCTCCCTCACTCTGTCACTAGTCACCATCTCCCTCCGTCACTAGTCACCCCCTTCCTCATTCTGTCACTAGTCACCCCCTCCCTCACTAGTCACCCCCCGTCACTAGTCCCTCACTCTGTCACTGTGTCACCCCTCCCTTCCTCACTCTGTCGCTGTGTCACCCCCTTCATCACTAGTCACTCCCTCCCTCACTCTGTCACTAGTCACCCCCTCTCTCACTCTGTCACCAGTCATTCCCTCACTCTGTCACCAGTTATCCCTTCCTTCCCTCCTTCCCTCACTCTGCCACTAGTCATCCCTTCCCTCACTCTGTCACCAGTCATCCCCTCACTCTGTCACCAGTCACCCCTTCCTTCCTTCACAGTGACAGAGTTAGGGAGGGAGTGACTAGTGACAGAGAGAGGGATGGGGTGACTAGTGACAGAGAGAAGGATGAGGTGACTAGTGACAGAGTGAGGAAGGGGGTGACTAGGGACAGAGAGGGTGATTAGTGACAGAGTGAGGGAGGGGGTGTAGCGTTACTTACCTTAACCGGGGGCCGGTCGCGGTCCTCTCTTCAAGCCGCGCGCGGTCCTGCGGCTGCACGAGCCGCGCGCGGCTCATCCGACTGCTTCAGATGGAAGGCGGGCAGTGACCGCGTGAAGCGGTCACGTGTCCCGCCTGAAACTAAGAGCGCGCCGCGAGTCTCGGGCGCGCTCTTAAAGAGACAGTGGGAGCCTAATTGCCAAAAGGCTCCCATTGGCTCCTGTCATACCACACTCCCTGTACAATTACCTATAGGGGGTGTGGAAGTGACAGGAGCCAATCACTTTCGTTTAAAGCTATTTAAACTTACCTTTTTCCCTTAGCTCGTTGCCCTATCGTGGTTTCTGTTTCAGTTCCCTTTAGCGCTTGTGGTGTTCAGTTGTGTTTTCTCGTATTGACTTTGGCTTCGTATTCTGACTTCGTTTTCGCTTTATCCTTATCTGTACTGTTTGCCGGCTTGCTGTTTTCCGTGTACCAGACCCCGGCTTGTCCTAGTTTACGCTGTCTCTCTGTGCCCTTGACCTCGGTTTGTTCCTGGCTCTGTCTCCTCTCATATACGTCGAGTCCGGCCATTCTAAGGTCCGGTAGACGTATCTCTCCTCTGTATTTGCCTCTGTTTAGCTGGATCCTGCGTGTAGGGGTATATTCTCGTTACATTACGATAGGGCCATGGACCCGCAGATTTAGCTCAACAGATGGCGTCCCATGAGGCAAGATTTGTAGAGCAGGATCACCGTATGGATCAAATAGCTCAGGCTCTCCAGACGCTCCTAGCTAGAACCGTTCCAGCAACTACACCTAACCCTCCTACGCCCCTTCTCCCTGAAGTATCTACTTTGCCTAATACTTCGGCCCATTTAACACCTCCTCCTAGGTATGGAGGGGACTCTAAGACTTGCAGAGGGTTTATTAATCAGATTGAATTTCACTTCGAAATGTATCCACGTTCATTTCCCACAGAGAGGTCTAAGGTTGGGTTCTTTATGCACCAACTTACCGATAAGGCACTTGAGTGGGCAAATCCTATTTGGGAAGTTAATGGACCTATGGTACATGATTTCAACAGTTTTCTTACGGCTTTTCGTAGAACTTTTGACACAATGAAAAGGTCAAAGAATGCCGCGAGAGCATTAATGAGAATTAAACAGGGTTCTAGGTCTGTGGCTGATTATGCTATTCAGTTTCGCACTCTTGCTTCGCAGGTAGATTGGACCAACAATGGGTTAACTACTGCCTTTATGGAAGGTTTGTCAGATACGATATTGGATGAGGTAGCAGCTAAGGAGCTTCCTATTGCCTTAGAGGACCTTATCGATTACCTCATTGATATTGATAATAGAATTCGTGACAGGCTCTATACCAAGAACAGGAATAGACGTTTTGTTACACCCATTAACCCCAGAGTTAATATACCTGAGAGTGTTAAAGTGTCTGAGGAGGAACCTATGCAATTAGGGGTTGCCAAACTCTCTGATACTGAGAAAGGGAGGGACTCTGCCTATACTGTGGTAGGAGAGACCATATGGTAAAGGAATGTCCTTTACTCCCGGAAAACTCTCGCACCTAAGACCTTATAGGGGACTGGCCTTGGGTGTGATATCTAAGTCTCCTAAATTGCCTCCTAACCGCTTGCTTCTCCCGGTTTCTTTATATATGGGAGAGATTTGTATAGTTGACAACATATATGCTCTGGTTGACTCTGGGGCAGCTGAAAATTTTATAGACTCTGGCTTTATAAAGAGAAACAACATTCCCATCAGAGAGAAGGAGATACCCTTGGCCGTTGAGGCCATAGATGGTAGACCATTAAGTTCTCCAGTTGTTACTCATGAGACTGTACCATTACACATGTACACAGGGGTTTTACACTATGAAACCATTCGATTCCAGGTCATCACCTCTCCCTCTTCACAGTTAGTATTAGGGTATCCATGGTTACGTGCTCACAATCCCATTTTTGACTGGGAGACAGGGCAAATAAAATCATGGAGTGAGGCCTGCCACGAGTCTTGTACGTTGGAAGTCACCCCTTTGAATTCTATTGAGGTACCTACCAGTCCTCCTTTGTCTACGGTTATACCCCCTCAGTACTTATCTCTAAAGACTGTTTTCGATAAAAGGGAGGCTGAGAAATTACCGCCTCACAGACCCTATGATTGCGCTATTGACTTGTTGCCTGGCACTATACCTCCAAAGGGCAGGGTGTACCCCTTATCGGTTCAAGAAAACCGTGTCATGGAGGAGTACATCAAGGAATCACTAGAAAAAGGGTTTATTAGGAGATCCTCTTCTCCAGCTGGAGCAGGGTTCTTCTTTGTATCGAAGAAAGAAGGTGATTTAAGACCGTGTATAGATTTTAGAGGTCTAAACAAAATCACTATCAAAAATGCATACCCTATACCTTTGATTACAGAATTATTTGACAGGCTGAAACATGCCACTGTGTTCACTAAATTAGATCTTAGGAGTGCATACAATTTGATACGTATAAAGGAAAATCACGAATGGAAGACTGCATTCAACACTAGATCCGGTCATTACGAATATACTGTTATGCCATTTGGGCTTTGCAAAGCCCCAGCAGTATTCCAAGAATTTATTAATGATGTCTTGAGAGATTTTATTCACACATTTGTTATCGTATACTTGGACGACATTTTAATATATTCTACAGATATACACACTCATCACAGACATGTTACGACAGTTTTGAAGACCCTTCTTGCTAGTGGTCTTTATTGCAAGCTAGAAAAATGTCTGTTTGACCAAACCGAAGTCCAGTTCTTGGGGTATTTGATTTCCGCTAAAGGTTTTCGTATGGATCCCCAGAAGCTAGCTGCTGTAATAGAATGGCCTCTACCGCAAGGTCTGAAAGCTATTCAGCGTTTTCTTGGGTTCTCCAATTATTATAGATGTTTTATCAAAGGTTTCTCGTCCATTGTAGCACCTATCACTCGTATGACTAAAAAGGATGGCAATACTCGTGTTTGGTCTACCGAGGCACTTCAGGCTTTTGAATTTCTTAAAACTACGTTCGCCTCTGCACCTATTTTACAGCATCCTGTCCCCTCTCTGCCCTATATTCTTGAAGTTGATGCTTCGGATATTGGGGTAGGTGCTGTCTTATCCCAAAGAGAGTCGCCTGAAAAGCCATTGCATCCATGCAGCTTCTTTTCTAAACAAATGTCCAAAGCAGAGAAAAATTATGATGTGGGTAATCGTGAACTCCTTGCTATTATTTTAGCACTTAAAGAGTGGAGACATTTGTTAGAAGGAACTAAGGATCCTATCCTCATTTTTACGGATCACAAGAACCTATCCTACCTTAGCAAAGCTAAAAGATTGTCTTCCAGGCAGGCTAGGTGGTCACTATTTTTGTCCCGTTTCAATTTTATTATCACCTATAGGCCAGGTGATCGCAACACTAAAGCAGACGCTCTGTCCAGACAGTTCAAAACTACTGACAAACAGGAGATTGATGTTACTCCTGTCATTCCCCCAGACAGGATAATAGCTACTACTATTTTGTCTATTTCCTCGTCCCTCTTGCAGGCCATACAAGCGAAACAAAGCATGGCACCTAGCGAGAGGCCTAATGATAAACT